CTGTATCGTCTCTGTTTCATCTTCATTAAAGAAAGCAAAGGATGATATATTTCTATGTGTGAATTGACACTTGTATTACATGTGATTAATATTATATTACATGCCCATAAGCCGAATCTAGGCAAGAATTAAAGGTTAATAATTGATTAGTCAAACAATTCATTAATTTCTAATACTTCTCGCGTGATAAAAACCTTCCAATTCTGAGAGAACTACTAAATACATATATTTGTACTGATTTTGTCTAGAACTTGATACATTACTTTAAAGCCATGTATATATTAATATTAGACCTTAATTATTATTCATGCATATTCCTAATTTTAAAATTATTATAAATTAATAGCCTCTCTTATGCAATATCTTATTAAGTAAGCAGATGATCAAGATCAATACCTAGTCTCTCCAGCTCTCATATCAAATTACCTTCACTATCTTTTTATCTTTTTAGCAACATGAGAACTTTCATATTATATACATTATAAGTCATGGCATAATCACGACCATTTTATATGATCTTGTGTTGCTTCGAACATTGTGACGGTTCCTATAAATATCAATTAGCAATGTTGAAGAAAAATCTATTTCATTTAGTAAAATCAAGAATTATGAAAGAATTGTTACATGAGGCTTCAATCGATTATGAGGAAGAGGGTTATGATAATTTCAGCCAAGCATATAATAGAGTTCTCAATTTTGACCTGCATTCATTAGAGAAAGTACAAAAAATGATTACTGGATCTGTCAAAGAGAAGGATAATAAATTACTCAAAAACAACGAAGAATTTCTTAAAAGCGATGATGAGATAGAAGTATTTGATGAGAAGTTTGAAAAGCCGGTTCCTTCCCTTGTTCCTGATAATACCAAGTTCACATCATATGTGATTATTGACAATGATAATGATCAGCGTATAATCCAAAGGTGCAATAACACAGGAGTTCGCAGTGTAAAGCAACTGTGCGGTACATGGGAAATTGATTCTCTAGCTGTGCAAGAAGTTGAAAATGCTATTACCAAGTTAGGGATTTGTTTGCTTCATTTTAACTACAATAAGAATGTTGTACATAAACCTGGAAGAAAAATACACATTAAGGCAATACAGACAATAGAAGAAAGTGTCATTACCTCACGTCGCTGTTTATTGTGCAATAAATTCAAATGCTTTTTAACAAGAGGTAAAACATGCGCATCACATACATGGAAAGTGTGTGAACGCATAGTTCAGGTTCCTTGCCGTGGTTTATTCAACTGCCCAATACTTAATGAATATGATAGACTGTCAACGAAATCGAATATTGGTGATAATAATCCTCATTTTATTTGCACAAGTTGTTTTGTGACACATGGAGGCCATTTGCATATTTAGCCAGGAAAAGGAAAACATTTGACTTCATGTTTGAAACAAGAACAACATAATGATGATACTATACTTACTCTAAAGTTTTTTAATAAATAGATTAAACGAACCATTGAATCTGAAAATAAAAATGCGAAGATTAATTTGTTAAGAGAGCTTATTAAAATTCTCGATGATATTACTATAGATACACTTAAAACACATAATGCTATCAACACGCCTTCTATCATTTCATCAACTTCGTCTTTTTTTAATAAAAACAGTGTTTGCTATTAAAAAAATCAAAGTTGATAAAGCAAAAGAATCATCATTGAAAAATGATAAATGTAGAACCTTTGAAAAAAAACTTGCTCACTCTATACTACAGGAACAATCTGAACTTGAAGAAGTTACAATCACTCGAAGAGCCAGAATCCTTAGAGGAATATCAAAATGCTATGCCATCACCTCTTATTAATTTTTTTGTTGAATTAATTTCAGCTATTAAAGAAAAGAAAATAACCATATTAGTCAGAAAATGGAAGGAAAAAAATAAGAATTCACCACAGTTAGATGAAAAAAACATTAATTTACCTTCTCTTTTCTTTTCTTCTGTAATACTTACTATTGCTTTTCGTCACTGGAAAATATGGTTCACTCATATTCTTTCTTCCCTTTGTCAATAACCACAAATAATAGGATCTTTGTACAAAATCCTTTATACAGTTCAGGTTATATCCTACGTTAGGAATCACGAAATATACGTCCAAAAAAAAAGAATGACAGCCATAGAACCTCGATTAAGGCCTAACCTATATCCGAACATCTTGAATGTTGCAGCTATAAATAATATTAATATAAAGGATAAGACCTTCCAATACGGAAATATCTATGATGCAACTCGAGCTACTGCATACGCAACACTTCGGATGGTTTTTCAGTTCCAACGTATAAATCTTAACAACTCAAATAAGGAACCAATGAAAGATCAGAATCTTTTTGGTATAAGTTCTATTATGGAGAAATGGCAAACAAAAGTAGACACAGTCTTCAATCAATTAATTAATTAAAACTTGACATTTGGTGTTAAACATATTGATAAAGCCATTAAAGAGAATATCAACTCAATATTGTTTATAGCACCTCCGAATGTTGTGATTCTCGAATTAGAAGAAACTCCAAACAAAAATGAACATGTTCATCAGGCTGTTAACATGTTTCTAGATGATTTCGGTGATACAGAAAATGGTATATTGAATTTGGTTTGTGATGAAGCAATCTATAGTTGCATGAAAAACTACACAAGTGAAAAACAGATGGTACATTGCGTCCTAGGACAATGGCATGTGAATTAGGCAATATGCAATGTATTAATTGCTGCTTTTTCGGACTATGGACTTTTTGGACTTGCTGCACGGCTTGGTGTTAAGTTTCTTGATAAACTTGAGCAAGTTTCTGATTACCGGGCAACATTTCGAGTGCTTGAGCTTATTTGGGCAGCAGTAGGTATCACAGTTCAACTATATATTAAGGAAAGAAATATTTCAATTAAAGATATTTCTAAAGAAAACAATAATCTTCTAAAAGTGTAGTATAATTTTTACCGATGGACAGGATATTTAAAACTACACAAGCTTGGCATTCGGATGACAAATTTTGATCTACAAATGCATAGTTTAATAGTATTTGCACCTTTATTTCCCATAACAGGAAAAAGAAGATATGCCAAATCTGTGGCACGATTTTTGTCAGATCTCCGAAGTAAGCCACAACTTTTTCAAGATCTTCAGTCAGCGTCTTCAGTGAATTTAACACAAGAAGGACATCACTTTGCTTTTGATGAGGCTCTAGAGATGTTCGAAATTAAGTTCGTAAAAGAAAACATGACTGGCCTGACTACGAATTCAGAGAATTTAAAGTTAAATATTAAAGCAGTCCAAGAAGAATATAAACAACTTAGTCTATTAGTTTCGGAATTTACCGATGATTAATCACCAAGTAGAACTCCACGGTTTGTTAAGAATCATCAAGAAACTCTTTGGAGGTTAATTCTTGAGCTTAAGATAAAATTTAATAATCCACAACCAAAATCACAAACCTTATTTGTGGAAACTATACAATTAACAGATGATGGTTATTGGCAGATTTATATTTGTTACAAGCTGGGAATTGAAAGAATGGACGCTATTGTCAAGCAAGATGTTCATAAAACTGCTATACAAGTGAAAGTCAGAAGAGGTAAATGGGACTTGATACCTATGAGTATTATAAAAAATAGAAAACGAGCAAGAACAGAAGCAAATCACATGACAGAAAAAGTAGATAACTATTTTGTGCGGGCTCCAGAATTATATAATGCAAAAGTTAACAAAACTAATAAAGACTTACAGTTAATGTTATTGTACAAAACCCCAACAAAACACAAATCACATAAGCCAATGGTTGTCGAAGAACAGATCTTAAAACAGCTTGAAGTATACGAAGAATCCTCTACATTACCCAAGGAAGTTATTAATAGACTAGTTGAAGACTTATTGCAATATACTGATTATTGGACACCAAAATGGATTCGAGATAGATAGTATAACCGATATAGATATAAAAAGATAAAGAAGTAGGTAGAGTCACTATAATATTATTTGATTGTTAATACTGCGATCTTAAAAGATTTGGGCAAGTGATCTACCTATGTACTATAAATAAAACCTTCTTTTCTTTTTTTTGTTTTTTCCTGTAATGTTTATAATGTAAGATTTTTTCGAGGATGTAGTTTGTCAAAAGCTCTTGCTTCGGTGCAACTGGTAAACCATTTATTATGGCAAAAATTTATAAACTGAAGAATAATCTAATTAAAAAAGACAAAAATGTTTGTTGTTTTCAAAGGCAGTGTATTTGATAAGGAGGCATTAGTTTTATGTGTTTTATATATCATTTTGTTCGCAGAAGTACTCTCAACAGCTTTGTCTTAAACAATTTAATCATTTTTGACTTGAGATTTTATGAAAGTTTTTGAAATGCAATTGAGTTATTTGTATAATTAATGAAGATCATATAATAAAATTTTAGATGTGAAAACTTGTGTGACTAATAATAAATTACCACTATGCAAGTCATTGTGAGTGAACCCTTCCTTGTATATATAACTTAAACTATTAAAAACTGACAGAATATGTAAAAGTATCCACCTCCACTCTAAACTTTTACTATTAGAATTTGATTTTAAATACCATCGCATATTTCCATGTTCACAATATTCTAAAATCATGTAAAATTCTCCATCCATAGGATCTTTAGATATTCCAAATAGATGAATAATGTTCTTTTATAAATCTTCATAATAAAGTTTATGGTAAACTTTTAACTATATTTTAGTTTAAAAAAAATTAATAACTTTCTTTTAAAAATTATAAATAGTTGGATAGTAATGCTTACTTCGTTAATAAATTTTACTGAAATATCTTGTGATTTTTTAAGCTTTTTCAATATTACTTTTATAGAACCTTTCTGATAAAATGTTTTAAACCTTTTTTCTTTTTTTTTTAAAGAAACTTCATCCAGAAAAGCTTTCATAAGCAATGGCCCGTCTATCCAACATGCTAAATACACTATGCTAAATACACCTTTGTTTATTTCTTTTATATCATAAAATTGTTCAAATGGTATTCACTCAAGACTATCATCTACATCTCTTCCACTTTCTTGAAATTCTCGAATTATTTTATCAATTTCTGAATTACCACTTGTCCAATTCGAAGGTTGTTCCTGAAAAAACTTATGAGTGCATTCTCCACATGCACGTTCAAACCAACATACATGATCTCCTGTATCAATATGTACTTCCTCTCTTTCAATACACTTGGACGAAGAATTGGCCCTAATACTATTTATCTTTAAATCTCAAAAGAGCATTGATTGGATTCAGATTTTGACACAATATTAACTCTGGTTATGTATACATAAGTTGTACAATATTCTAAATAAAGTACTACATTTGATTCGGTTTCTATTTTTATCAAAGTACTCATCTGTTATATCGCATTATATTTGAGTAGCACCAAAAGAAAATCCGAAAATTTAAATATAGAAATATTCATGTAACAGAATGCGGGTTTTCAAAATTATTTATAGAATGCATGTGACAAGAAAGAATATTCCAATTTATTATTCTAATCTTTTCGGCTATGCACCGTAATATAAAAAACTTAGTACTGGATAAGATCTATATTTATACTTTAAGACAATGGTAAATTGCAAGATCTTTGTATTCCTGACGAATGTTCAAACGAACATGAAAGTATTAAAGATTAAACCTGCTCATGTACCAAATACTATAGAGTATTCAAAATAGATATCTTGAAGGTAACAAGTATTTTGTTTCAATTTAAAATAGATAGTGTTGTCATTGCATGGTGAGTCAGTCGCTAGCCTGAGGTTGCTAATCGTTGCACATTAGACGTTTGTTATAATAGAAATAAGGTTTTAACTTCACAGTAAAGATGGGTCCCTAAACTATTTAGCATATAAAATTTCGCAGATCAATTATGTCTCTTTTAAAAGGACATAATTATTTATTCATTACTTTAATAGGGACATAATTCAAAAAACACTTGAATCAAGTGTTCTAAATTGCAAAAAATCTTTATAGATAGTTTTTTTTTGATCTTATATTTTTAAAAAAACTTTTTTAATAGTGAGAGACATTTGAATTATGTCCTCACCTTTAATTTAGGAACCCATCTTTACTTCACAGGTATGATTTAGACTTGATTGAGTGACAACTTGCAGTCTTTTTATCCACCAGCAATATAAGATGACCCAACTTTTCCAGCAGTAGTTCTTTTAGCGGCATGCAGATTAACAACTGTTATTATTGTCAAAAAGAATTCTTGGATTCTTTATTAATAAAGTCGCAAACAGCAAGGTATAAGTAAAAAATATATTTATTCTGAGCCAAAAATATAAGTGGTTAAGTGATTTTTTCTTACACATGCCATTTCCCCTTCTATTTATAATCATTAGGTCACTAGAGTTTAAGAAGTTTAAAGAGTTTAAATTAAAACCTAACTACCCAAGTCACATTTTTACCTTTTGACATGTATTAATCGTGTTACACATAATGCATTGCATGACATGGCTTACTTTTCCATCTACAACAATAGTTATTTTTAAAAATTATTTTTTATTTTTTTTTTTTAGTTGAGTAAATACAAATTTCTTAAATTATATAAATATAATATTTTGATTTATTTAAATAAATATATAAATAAATAATGGTTTTTTTTTAAACTAGATTTTGTTGTTTTTTGTAAACCAGATGCAATGGTTGGATTAGAATTAAAATTATAGATTTTGGGAGAAAAGGTTTTATTATTTAAGTCAAACATAATGGTTAGGTTAAAATTAAAATAATAGATGTAGAGGTTTTTTTTTTAAATCGAATATGTATTTAGATTGTATCTGTTGGTTCTATTTAGGATTCTATTGAGCTTCATTGCCAATCCGAAGTAGCATGATTATATTTAAATAATTAATCAATAATACGTCAATAATAAATTAATAAATTTTTGAATTGAAATTTACTTAAAGCTAATTTTTGCGATTATAATTAAATCAATATCCTAATATTTTATTCAAGCAAAAACTTCAAGCTAATTTAATAATGAAATCTTTCAGTACTGTTGCTCAAAATTTAGACCACTTTATTGATACTTTTGATTTTACCGCTTTTGAATCAGATAGAGATTCCCAATGTGAATATACTATAGAAAAAGAGTTTGAGGAAATTAATCAGTCCAATAAAGAAATTAATGAAAATGACCGAATAGTCATAAACAACTTAATTGACAAACTTAAAAGCTGTTGTTCATATAAAGACAGTTGTATTACGAAGGTTGCACCAAGTCTTTTACAATCTTTAGTGTTAGAAAGTCTTCAAATGGACAAAAAACAGAAGCACTATTCAAGGATGATTCTTATGGCTTCTCTTTACAATAAACCTTACAAAAAACAAACCTATATTAAGAATTATCTACTTTCATATTTTGGCAGAGTTTGCCATTTTTTCTTTCGAACATTTTGGATATGTGGCAAAGATACATTATATAATCTTTATAGTTGACTTCGAGAATATAAATCCATTTGCATCATCAAAATACACAAAAGAAGCCGAAGCATAAATGAAAGGACAAATCTCAAAGAAAAACACTATTCTGTTGGTCCAAACAACATTCTGTCCAGATGCAATGGTTGCCCAATAGGCTCACACTCGACTGGCTTCTGCACATTGTCATTTACAAGTCCTACAGCATCCTCATTGTGGATAGTTTCGAACCCTAACAGCACAAGCAAGCACCGACTATGCAACATAATTAGCGAACTGTCTACCACACCACAGCAAGGAGAGAACATTCTTCAATCTGTTGACAATTTTTCCATCTCCCCTCCCATATCAGCACTCCAAAGAATTGGCTTCTGCCAACAGTATCATTTTCAACTTTACCAGAACAAGATCTTCGTGAACAGCACAAAAATAATACCAACCAGTCCAGGACATCCCCTAGGAGA